AACTTGAAATGCTCCCAAAAATGGCACTACAACATGTAAAAATATAAAGTAAGCTCTGGCGGACTTGGTTCTATGGTAGGTCTTAAAGGGTTAATTAAAACAATCTTTTCTGTAGAAGGAACAAAAACTCCAAACAGATTCAAAAACTCAGACTTAAAAAAGTGAGTATATTGGAGTGATGCACCAAAGATATTTTTCATGTTAAAGACTCTTACTCTAATTACTAGTACATATAAACACTTCTGGGTTAAACGTCAGTTATATATCAAAGAAAAGAAAAGAAAAATTGCCCAGTAACTGAGCTATCAGGAGGGGAGGGTGGGGTGACAGGAAGGGAATTTCAGAGATTACGGGGAGGGGGGCAAGCAGAGGACAGTGGGGCATTGACTTTTCCAGTATAAACAGTATGTTCAGGCCTGTCTCTCTGTTATCTTGGATTTCCTTCAGCCATAAGTCTAATTATAAAAGGGTTACTCGCAGGTGTGGAAACGCATCTTATCTTGAGGATTTAAAAAAGTTCAGTATTTACAGAAATGGTCTGGACAGCATCTGAATTGTTTTAAGTTAATTTGGCACTATATACCCACTTCAACAGCTCAGTTATTTATGCATTCTATGATATTTTCTCATTTTTCATATTGTATGACAGTTTGGACCCAAGCAGCACCATCTACAATTCAGCCTGCTTTTTTGGAAGGGCTGTTTATTAATTTGCTATAGGATTCCTGAGTTTGCAGAAACCTTCAGTACTTTTAAGTTTAAAACACAAGAAGACTTGATGATGATCAAAATATAGTCCACGGGGTATATCCTGCATATAAAAAATGTTGGCACTCATGGAGGACATTGGCCCTCCCCCAAAGAAAATTTTACGAAGGCTGTGATAAATATTTAACCAGTGTTTTTAATGTTTAATTTACTCAGGCTTCAACTCAACTTTTTATGATTTAAAAGAAAAACACGTATATTTCTTTTGAGTAAGCCAGCATAGTCACCCCACAAAGCCTGCTTGAGCCAAGAAAAACCCTGAACTGACTGTAGGATGTATGTAAACTTGTGTGGAAATAAAGTGGGTGTATTGCATATTTTCTTATTTTCTGTCACACACCGATATTATATAATACATAAAAGTTTTAATACAGACA